GGCTGAGTCAGAGTTCACTAAAGGCCAGAGTGGCCCCTCACTGGGTTGGGGCTGAAGGAAGTCATGCTGCTCCCCTCTCAGGAGGGTAAAGGCCAGGCATCAGCAGAGAAGCAGAAGCTCTGCCGAAAGCAATCCCAGGACAGACAGCGCGTTCCCATCTCCCTGGATCCAGGTTGCAGAAGTGGGGCCCGCGGACCTGAAGCGCCGGGCAGCGGCATCCAGGTCCTGCTTCCTGGCTCTGCCTTTGCCAAGGAGTCACCTGGTATCTGGCACCAAGCTGGGTCCTGCTGATACCCCCGAACCCACCCAAGAGAACCACTTACCTATTCATTCAGTCATCGATCCCCAAGCGCCTGCTGTGTGCCAGGAATCAGAGATACAGACAGGACAGGGCAGTGCCTGTCCAGGAGAGCTCGTGGAAACACGTCACACACCACAAAGCGACAGTGTAAACAAGCACAGAGGAGAAGGTGAAGGGCAAAGAGGGGCTTGGGAAAAGCAGCCAGCAATGTTCAGACCTACTGCCCCTCAGGAAGCTGAGCGTCACAGTGAGGAGACCCAGCCGCCCCCAGGAAGAGCCAGAGAACCCCACATAGCCAGACATGACCGCCGTCTTGGGGCACACACGTATTGGAGAGGCGCAGAGGCCCTGTGCAGAAGGAAGGTGTTCTGGGAATGTCCCTGGGGGCCTGAGAAGGAGCCTGGCACCAGCCTTGAAAGACCAACTAGACGCAGCAAACAACAACGGCTCTCCTTTATCGAGCATTTACTATGTGCTAGGGATAACAATTCTAAGCATTTCATGTGTACTTTTTTGTCCTCTGCTCATGCCCTATGAAGCCATGACCATCATTATCCCCATTTGCAGGTTCAAAAACTGAGGCTCAGAAAGGGTTGCATAGCTAGAAATTGGCAGGGCCGAGATCTCAACTCTAAAGTCCAGTGCTTTACTGCCATGCTGCACCATCATCTCTCTAATCTGTGAACAGGCAGAAGGTAGGTAAAGGTGCTTCAGGTGGGGGAAACAAGGTAAGAACAGGGAGGCAGGATCAAGTGCTCTGTCTGAGGGGAGCTGCCCAGCTCCACTGTGTTGGGGTTGTTTGTGTGTGTGTGTGCACGCCTGAGTATGGGTGGGTGTTCACAGATACGCCCTATTTTGCAAAGGATAGATCCCAGGTCCCAGAACTCCCTGGGAGCCAAGGAAAGAATGGGGCATCCGCAAGTCAGGGAAGGAATCCCAGAGAGGAGACGAAACTTATCTAAAGTCACACAACACACAAACAGCAGAGCAGGAGCCAACTCCAAGGACCAGAACATGGGTCTCTTTCCTCTATCAGCTGCCTCTCCTTGTCGGCACAGTGAATCAGCTGCTGACAGGAAAACCACAGTGGAGGGGAAGCCCGGGGGTGAGTCAGGAGCCAGCCAGCCTCCGAGAGACAGCAGCTGGGCCTGTTGCAGAGGCCCCAGGTCTGTGGTTGTCTGCCTCTTCTCAGGGCAGCGTCAGGGGCGAGGGGAGCAACACGTCCCACACCACTCGCTCCATGTTTACCTCTGGGCTTCCCCTCCCAGCTCCTCAGACCCCGGCTTAGTGGAGGGGAAGCGGGTGGGTAGGGCAGTTCCTGCTAAGATTAAACGGGTCCTGTCCCACGGAGAGGCCCAGGCCAAACAGTCCAGGCTCTTCCCTCCCTTCCCACCTCTCACAGAGCCAGCTTCTGGCCGTTTGATCTTCTTGATTAAGTCATAACCGCCCCCCGTGAGCTTCCCGTGGGGCGGAGGAAGTGGGTATAACGGTTTGGAGCAGAAGGCCAAGGCCAAACCAGAAGCAGGGGTGCCAGCTGGCCCCAGATGCTCCAAATCCAAAAGAACACTCAGGACTTGGGGCTGCTCAGCTATGGGTTGAGTGGGAACTGTCTGGTCCTTGGGGGAACCCCAGGGTAGAAGGGGATAGGTGATGGGAGATTCCAGGCTGTGACTCTAAAGTGTGAGGCCTCAAGACAGAGGGGGCCACCCCCACATAGCAGAAACTTCAGAGGAGCCCAGGGAAGCCAAAATCCTGCCCCAGTCCCCCTACTGTGGGAAACTTGTACCTTGACTGCTCACCCACTGCCAGAGATAGCACATGGTGACCTCTCACCCCTACCCTCCCTGGGCTGGGATGGGAAGGAGGGACCAGCAGGCACTTCTTCCAACCACCCCGCCCCCACTCCCAAACTTACTGCTGGCTGGCACAGGCTCCCACTTTTTGGCCCAGATGCCTCCCCTTCATGGGCAACCCCCCCCCCTTGTAGCATTCATCACCCTCCCAGTGCCCCCACCACTCACCCAATCCAGCCACCTTCCTGAGCCCCTGGTATGTACCAGACAGGATGGGGAGGAGAAAGAAGTGCAAAGGTGCTGGAACAGTCCCCTTCCACCCCTCCAGTGGCGCCTTCGCTATCCCCATGACTGGTGTCTCTTCCTTCACTCCCAATTGCAGACATCCCCAAAGCCACCCAGACCCCTTCTTCCCTGTCACTGCAGCCATTGGTTCATTATTCCTTGACTGCTGGATCCTCCACCCCAGCACATCTGGCACAGACTGACTTTCCTAAAGTGCTGCTCTGTTGTGTCACTCCTCTCCTCAGAAACCTTCAGTGGCTCCCACTTTCTGCAAATCAGATCCAAAGTTCTTACCCTGGCATTCAAGGCCCTCTGTAAGCTGATTCCACCTACTGGTCCCACTGTGTATCCCCGCACAGTCCCAAACTTCAGCCAGAATGAGCAACCTAGCAGTTTCTTGAGACTTCTCAGGACAGGTTGACCTCCCTGCCTCTGCCTAGGCATTTTCCTCTCCCCAAGACACCATCTTCATTCTGGGTGCCGAAATCTTCCCAGTCTGTAAGGCTCTGAAGATCCCTCTAATCCTTTTTTCATTTATCTTGCATCAGAGTCACTGGTATTCTTGTGTAAGCCCCTTCCTGGATGGTAAGCAACCTGAGGGCGCAAGCCTTATGTGGTTGCTTGTCATTCATCCAGTGGGAAGGGCAGGTGGTGATGGCGAGGGCTTTCTTTTAAGGCTCACTAGGTAGGCTCTGTTGAAATGAACGTCTCCTCCTCCCCACCTCAGGCACCACCTACCAGACCCTCTCCCTCCCCACCATACCAAACTCCAGTTTATGCCACTTCAGTGCTTGGAGAGACTGTGGTCCCATGTTGATCCAAGCCCAACCAGGACCAGGAGCCCAGGCAGAAAGTCCTATTCAAGTCTCACCCCCTCCAGGAAGCCTCCTTACCCCCACCCCCTGCCCTGGCTTCTCAAGTGTCTCACTCTTCTGAACACCTCCCCCTGCCCTACATACACACACGGTCTCCTGCACACAGCGCAGCCGCCAATCCATCTCTGTCCCACAGCACTTTCCAGTTTGTTCCATACTGTACAGCTTATCTCCCAGAAGATGCAGGGAGCCAACATAATGCAGCACCTTCAGTGTCCTTCGGTGCCCAACCCTGCTTACATATCAGGTGCCCACATTGCCCCTCGCCTCCATCCCAAGCCAAGTGTGCAATGGTATAGCTGGATTCCAGCCACTAGGGCAGCACAGACCCATGAAATCTCATCTGGTCATAAGCCCTGGGTGTGACTGATCCTCTCTACAGGGACATGGTAGGGATGGGGGAGCCCTCATTGTCAGCAAGTCAGGTCTGGCTAGTTCACCTCTGTACCTCTAGCTCTCTCTAGCATATAGTAGGTGCTCAGTAAACATTTTTAGACGTATTTAACTCAACACTCACCAACCTCAAGCAACATTACAGAAAACTCAGCCACTCTTTGTTCCAGATGACACAGTCCTCATCCCTTAAATAGAGTGATGTTGGTAGCAGGTGGCAATTTCTGGCTCTCACAAGGTCAGGAGGGGCTGTAGCCAACCCCATCTCTCCAAAAAAAAAAAAAAAAAAAAAAAGGCTTATTCCGCATAGGAAGCAAGCCCATCACCTGCCCATCCGCATCAAAGCAGCTGTCACGGACGGAGGTCTCACTGGTTTCCTGGCGCCTTGCTAAGTAGTGTATACACAGTATTCTATTTAGTGCTTGCTCCTGCCATTGGATGTTGCCATTATCCCTGTTTTACAGGTGAGGAAACTGAAGTTTGGAGGGGGAATGGAATCCAAATCAGTTTGATCCCAAAGCCCAGGCCCTTGACCACAGAACTAGGCTGCCCCACTACTGGGGCCCAGCACAGAGCACCCACGGCCACCAGGAACAGAACCTGTCAGCCAAGAAATTAACCCTGGGTATGCTGCAAGAGCCACTGGGGCCCTGGGCTTGACCCTGGGCGCAAGGATTGGTGGCGTTTTCTCTTCTCTTCCCCAGTCACCAGTGTAAGAACTGTTCCCGTTTCCAACCCCCTGCTCAGGCCAGCTCACCTGGAAAAGCCCCACTGCGTTTCCAACTTGAAGTCTTAGGGGGTCCGACTCAGCTGAACTGTCAGAAATTGTGGGAAGCAGGTGAGGCGGGAAATGGAACCTCCTTGCTTTGGCCTCCTGTTCCCCAGAGTTCATGGGTTACGAGCCCCAACCGAGGAACCAGTGCACTCTTTAAAGCAATTCGCTTCTCTTAGTCCCATTTTGCAGGGAGAGAAACTGCAGAGGGCAATGCGATGGGAACACCTGTGGCGACCTGCAGCCTGCGCTCACCTGCCAGCTCTCACCTTCCGGCGTTTTAAGTGAGAAAGGGCAACGGCCGCGTAGAATTAATCTAGTTCACTTCCTCCTGCTGGAACCTGGGAGGTCCAGAGCCGGGTGGAGGGACGGACCCAGGATCACGCAGCTGGTGCAAGCCCGAGTGTGAGAACTGGGGGTTCAGGACTGGGGGCTAAAGCTCCTTTTCACCCACCAGCTGCCCCGACCTGTCACTAGTTCCGAGGAAAGCTGTCCGAGACGGACCGCAGAAGCGGGGGTCAAAACTAACTTTGCCTCTGGTTGTCGGGCAGGCTCCCCCGGCCTGCTGCCCCCTTGCTCACCTGCTGGTTCTGCTTTCTGCTCCGCGCTGCAGGCCCAGCGTCGCCCGCTTGTGCCCCAGTCAGTGTCGGACTGCGCAGCCCTGGGCTCAGTCACTCCTCGGCCCCCTCCTGGCTGCAGCCGGGGAACGCCGCGGACTCGGCAGGCCCCGCCCCCCGGGGACACGCCCCCTCGGCGCCCCTCCGCCGACCCCGCCCCCGAGCCCTTTGAGAAGGCGGTGCGCTCCCGCCGGCCAGGCCCCGCCCGCTATGGCCCTACCCCGACCAGCCCCGCCGCCGGGCCCTGCTGGAGTTGAGGCCCCGCCCCTCTCCCCGCCCCGCTACGGCTTCTCTCTTCTATCCCGGCAGCCCCGCCCCCAGGTTACACAGGGGATGAAGCCAGCGCCGCTCCAGCCCTGCCCACTCACGGCGCTGCCTAACGGTCCCGCCCAGCTCCCGCCTACCTCGTCCTTCCCGGTCTCCCGGGCCCTCCCAGCGCCCCTGCCTCCTTCACTTTCTCTTTCGTGCCCACCCCATCCCTCGGCCTTAGTAGGGTGAGGCCACGCCCCTCCCCGCCCCAGCCCCGGCTCAGCGCCTTCCTAATCCTGGCCTGCCCTGCCCCTCTCAGCTCCGGGCGGGTAGCCCTGGGGCCCCCACGCTGGCATTCCAGGGCGGGTGTATCCGGGTGCAGCCGGGGAACGGCGTGGGAGCGGTTTGTGTTCCAAGTCGGGGCCTCTATCAGGAGGCGGCCTGGGCCCAGGCACTTTTTGAAAATACTGACTACCATTGATTGAATCCTTGCCAGGGGCCAGGCTCTATGCCAAGCGCTGTATAAAGTTCTAGTCCTTGAATTCCCACAACTCATGGGTACTCTCGTTGCGCCTATTTTACTAATGTGCAGTTTAAGGCTCACAGAAGGGAAGTCACGGCCTCTGAATATCATGGAGGCGGGCGTGAGCGGGATTCAGCCTCAGGTCCTGAGTCACAGGCTTGAGCTGCCCCAGCTTGCCTGGACTGGCCCCTGGGGAAGTAGCCCAGGCCAGCCAGTGCTGGGGCAGTGCCCAGCAGCTGCCTGAGGTGAGGGAGGAGGTGTGGGTTGAGAAGAGTGGCAGGAAGGACTGCGGGCCTAAGCCCTCAAAGCTGGCTTTCTCCCTGAAAAAAAAGTGACCCAGAATTGAGGTGCGCTGCAAGAATTCTCTAGATGGCTGCGGTGCCCACCCTGTGTCCCAGCCTTCTGCGCCCCCCCAGCCTCCGGGGGACTAGCTTCAGGCAGATTAACTGGTTAATGACCAGGGGCATTCATCTGGGCAGCTGACGAAGCTCTTTCACTTCCATTATCACATTGGCATCTCACAACACACCATTGTGGGAGGGTATGATTATGAGCGCTTTGTCTGGGTGGAGTAGGGGCGGGAGCTGGATCCCAGCCCAGCAGTGTAGTTCTCACAGCGTGGTCCTTGAACCAGGAGCAACATCATCTGGGAACTTGTTAGGAATGTGGATTTTGAAGCCCTATCCCAACCTACTGAATGGAAAACTGTGGGACAATTGGTTTGAATACGGCCTCCAGGTGATTCTGAATCACATTCAAGCATGAACCACTGTTGAGAAATTGTAAAGAAGTTAGAGTGGTCTGAGAATCACACAGACCTAGGTAGCTTCCTGGTTGCTTTTTAACCCCAGGACAAGGCAAGATACTTAACCTCTCTGGGATGAGCCCTTAAACAGGGAATAATAATAAAAAGAGCCATAACAATCATGCCGATCTTGACGGTGGCTCTTGAAGATTACATGTGACAGCATTCATGAAGTATTTGGCCCACCATCTGAATGCCGTACATGCACAGAAAATGTTCTCTTTTTCAACAAAAAGTCTCCATAGAATTCCCACACCAAGTCAGAGGAGTGAGGCTGGGGAATCCTTTAAACCCAGCAGCGTGTCCTACCCGCAGAGAGACACCCTCTATCCTGCTAGTGGTTCAGATCCTAACAAGCTCCTAGGTGATGTGGATGCTGGTCCGGAGACCACACTCTGAGAACCACTGTGCCATTCTGTCTTGGGCTGGGTTTCAGATTCACTACCCTACCCAGCCCATGCAAAATGGGCATAAAATATCCTCCTATTCCACCCTACTCCACACCCCGTCCCTCCGAGGTGGGGGTGTTTGTGATGGTGTATGACAGATGCTCCTGACAGTGATAACTTGACTTAAGCATACCCTGAGAATGGTCCTGTATGGCAGATGCACCCAAATGTGTGTTTGGACTTTTGAGCTAAGGAACTCGGGAGTGACCAACCTGGAGATTCATTCCTTATCTGTGAGGAACATTTGAACCCTGGCCCATCCTGTGGAATGCAGGCTGTACAGGGGTTCAAGGTTCTTTGGGGCCAAATGAAAGTTATCAGGTGGAGGTTGTTAGGGGGAGGGTGCTAAGTGAGAATGATGTATAAACTGTATCCTTTTTGTAAGCGGTTGTGGCTCTCTTGCCCAGCCTGCCATGGGACTGTACAGTTCTCCTTTCCAGCCCACTGCCACCTGCCATTCCTGTGTGTAAGCTTCCCAATAAACCCCCATGTCCCAGTTGCTGGCTCTGGTCTCTCCTTCAGCCTCTTGAACCTAGTGCCATCCCTGCTGAAGTTAATAGGGCTCCAGCACGACAGATGGGACTGGCCATTGGCAAAACAGCTGGATCCCCTCACTGTCCCCTTCTCCCATGAAGACATTCCCTCATATTAGTCCCATCTGCTATCCCTTGCTGCCCTGCCACTCCTGGTTAGAGATAGAGGCAGCTGTGGTGACATTGAGAGCAGTCTTCAGGCAGCTTCTGGAATCTCTGCCATACTCCCTGTCATTGTCTGAGCCCCACAGAAGAGTGTCTCCCTGTAGGAGTGCAGGGCCTGGGGCACTGGTCCTGTTATGCTGACCTACCCAAACACGGAAAGCCCAAGAGTGCAAATCAAGGACCAGATACCTTGTATCCAAACATTTAACAGACTGTGAAATAAAATGTGTATTTTCCTGCCTTGACAAATGTTCTTTCTAATGACCAGGAAGACCATGTTCAAATTTAGAATTATTGGACTCTTTAGAATTGTATGCAAGAACATGGCAGTGCGGGAGGATAGCCTGGCCCTAGCCCTCAGCCCACCCACTCCACTTCTTTTCCCACCCCATCTCTGTCCTATGTCACAAGTGGCCTAGGACTCAGGCATGTGGACACTCCAGCCCACATACCCAAACTCTGCCCACACGCCTTGCCTAGAGCCACCTCTTGGTTACCTCTCTATGGGTGCACGCTCCAGGGACAGGATGTATCCTCAGGAGGATGGACCTGGGCAGGCAGCTTTGTAAACCTTAAACTGACTGGGGGGCTGGGCACAGTGGCTCACACCTGAAATCCCAGCCCTTTGGGAGGCTGAGGCAGGAGGATTGAAGAGCTCAGGGGCCAAGACCAGCCTGGGCAACAGGATGAAACCTTGTCTCTACAAAAACTACAAAAATTAGCTAGGCGTGGTGGCAGACGCCTGTGGTCCCAGTTACTCAGGAGGCTGGGGTGGGAGGATCGCTTGAGCCAGGGAGGTGAAGGTTGCAGTAAGCTGAGATTGCACCACTGCACTCCAGCTGGGCAACAGAGCAAGACCTTGTCTCAACAAAACAAAACAAAAAAACCAGCTTGGGCGGATTAGGTGGTCTAGGTTTTTAAACACCCAAAGCATGATCAAGGTCAGGTGTGGGCTCTGGGTGACCACAGGTGCCCTCTTGTCCAGGTCTATGGTGACACTGCCATTTGGCCTTGTCTCCCCAGCTTCTAGCACATGTCCAGAAGCTTAAGGGACAGTTGTTGAGTAGATGTGCATCTGAGTCTAACTTAGTCCATTTTCTGTTGCTATACTACAATACCATAGGCTGGGTAATTGATAAAAGAATTTTATTTCATGTAGTTCTGGAGCCCGGGAAGTCCAAGGTCGAGAGGCTACATCTGGTGAAAGCCTTCTTACTGCCTCATCACATGGTGAGAGGGCAAGAGCATGCCACCTCAGGTCTCTCCTCCTCCTATTATAAAGCCACCAGTCCTCATCATGAGGGCCCTATCCTGATGACCTTATCTAATCCTCCCAAAGGCCATACCCCCAAATACCATCAACATATGAATATGGGGATTCAGTTTCCAGTACATTCAAACCATAGCAGAGTCATTCACTGAAATATCACATGGGGTTGGCTCCCTCAGCATTGTTGCTATCTCCTCTCTTCCAGCAGAAGGCAGGCTTTGTCATGACTCACCTTGGACATTTTGCCAGGCAGAGAGCACAGACACTTCTAGTGAGAGACTCCACCTCTGGAAATTCTTTAGCCCATTCTAGAGGTGGAGCCAGGAGTTCTGGAGGTGGGAAAAGGGTTTAGAAGAACCACCCTAGAAAGCCTTGAGAGAAGATATCTATGGCCAACTTGGAGGTGGGGAAGATGGTGGCATGGCAAGACCTCAGAGAGGTATGGCTATAGGATTCCCAGACTCTCAGAAGATTCCCTCACCCCAAAGGTGGAAGAGGAACAGCTGAGCAGGAGACTTCGAAGAAGTTGTAGGCAAGAACATGGGGGCCAGTTCCCTGTTGGTGTCTGGGTCTAGGTTAAGGCCCCAAGACGTTTGCACAACTCTGGTGGAGGAAGGTAAAGAGAATAAGTGGGAGTATCTGTTTCCTACTGTTATGTAACAAACCATCCCACTCATTTATTTTGCCCATAAACCTGCAGTTTGGGGTGGGCTGAGCAGCAAAGGCTTATCTCTGCTCTATGCAATGTCAGCTGGTTCAATTGGAGGTTAGAGATCCATTTTCAAGATGGTGCACTCACACACCTAGCAAGTTGGCACTAGCTGCCAGCTGGGAGGTCAGCCAGAGCTGTGGACTTGAGCTTCCTCATAATTAGGCTGCTGGTTTTCTAGGACAAACAAAGACCCACTTAGAAGTGCATGGCATTTTGTGACCTAGCCTTAGAAGTCACCTAGGATCACTTCCTTTGCATCCTATTAGTAGAAGCAGTTACCAAGGCTTACCTGATTCAAGAGCAGGGTACATAGTCTCTTTCTTAACCAGGGGGTAACGAAATTCTAGAAGAATTTTCAAGAAAGGAGATATTGTCGCAGCCATCTGTGAAAAATACTATCTGCCCCAAGCGAGTCC